GCCTTACTCCTATAGGTGAATAAGCATATTACATACAACACATAAAGCATAATAATGCTTGCTTTCATTTTTCATTTGCAGACATTAATCTTTATGCTTTTTCTGCCAAACCTACTGTTATTTCATCCAAATCATCGATACCGAAATATCGACATATCCACAGCACTACCCACATTTATCACCATCAATTAGACTAGGTGTTTCTGGAGCAATGATTAATTCTCCTTCCAAGGGGTTGGTTGGAAGTCTAGTGCTTTTTGTCAAATTTCCTTCCCTTGAACTTCTTTGGAAATAAGTTGAGTTATTTGTTTTGGAGGTAAACGGGAGGCATTTCTCATTACAATTTGTGTAATTCAATTAGTTTTGGAATTAAGGGTTTGAAAGAGTTTTATTTATACCTGGGAGAAGAACAATCTAGGTCTATACTAAATCTAGTAACTAATATTATAAAGAGGTAAAGTTTGTGTGTTTGTATATTTGTTAAATTGTAAGGGGTAATTTCGGGATCTACTGAACCGATTTTAAAAATTCTTTCACCAATAGAAAGCCACATTATTGCTGAGTGTTATGGTATATAAAAAAACTAAACTTCCACGCGGGCGAAGCCGCGCGCGGAAAGCTGTAGTAAGTACTGGACTGATTTGAAAAATTCTTTCACCATTAGAATCTTACATTAATCCCGATGAAAATAGGCTACAGAATATGGATGGTATAGATACATTTTGTGAACTCAACGCAGGCGAAGCCGCGGGCTGCTTGGACATAAGTAGGTAAACCATATTAGTCACGATTATAAAATCCATATTTATGATCAGTAATACAGTTTTGGTAAATTAAATGTACGCTCTGAATGCTTTGCCAGGCTTTCATACATTGCTTGTGCTATGCCTGAAACTATTTGGCTACCCTCACTCAGTTTAACAATTCTGTAGGATTCCACGCTTTGGAATTACAACAAAACTGTAAACAAAGAGAAGGAATTCCCCACACAAATATACAGGATGACGTTGCAAACATTTGCCAAATCTTTAGGAGCTACTCAGAATCAGTATTTTAATCGAATTACGTAAAGAAAACTTTTTTTATATATATTTAATTATATCCACTGTGCGCGGTTTCATAATTGGCACACGTAGATTTTACTACGATCATAAAGCTTAATAGACAATAAGGTGAGCGAAAATAAGCCTTAGCCTCTAAAACTTACCCGCGGATTATATTTTCGTAAGCTTTGTATTGTTGGATCTCTCCCATTTCACGTTCGGTAGCAGACTGTATCCATTAGCAAACTGCTTTCAACGCTATTTAAGCTCAGAACTTCCTCCACCTAAGTTCAATAAAATGCGATTACATTATTAAATACTTTAACCAAAACCAAAAGGTAAACAATTTTTTTTTTCAAACAATACCACAAATAATTACGATAAAGTAATATTGTTTTATAGAGCTTATAAAAAAATTGCAACTGTTTGCAAAGTCACCCTGTATTTCGAGTCCACTAGAGCATTTTGCCCTATTTTCCTCCCTACGAATAAACTTCAGTTCTCCAATAAAGATTCAGATAATAAATGTTGCCCTCAGGTTAGTGCTGTGAGAGGCACTCGACGCGAGTGAGGTCTCAGGATCCGTTCCTTGAAGAGACAGTTGTGCTAAATAACCCGGAATGAAGGAGGCTTATAAAATACAAGCGGTTTTTTTTGCCTCTGGGAGAAATTACTATAGGATAGGTTTTAGAAAGTGACTATTTTTTGGGTTCAGTAGCTTGTGTTCTTAGGGATAAAGTAGCTTTTTAGTTTTGAATGGTCTTGTTTTGTAGTTATGATAAACTTAATGATTTTAAATTACATGTCCTTTCTTAGCCGTGAAATTAGTAAGTGCTTCTATGTAAAAGCTAGTTATTATTATGCATATTTATTACTGGGTAATTTTGTTATCAGTATCCAATTTTTTTAATAAGATCTATAGAACAATGTAACAATACAACTTTATCTTAATTTTGCTACTGATTGCAAAGTCACCCTATATAACCTACATAATGTATCAACATGCTATATCAATGTAACCGTATAGACAATAGGTAATTAAAATGCGCATCGTTAATTTGTTTTCAATCGCAAACTCCACATGCTAAATTGCATTCCGTTTACGTTTCGTCTCATTCCAAGTAAGCTCCAGTACAGTGAAACGGAACTTGGCCCACAGCACTGTATAATAATAGAGAAGATGCCGTCTTTGGTTGATAGAGAATTCCCCTTAGCCAAATACGTGGCCGCTTCCATTCGAAAACCTTTATGCGATGGGCCAAGCCACGAGATATGCTTGTTGCGGTTACAAAAACTGAGACTGACTGTTCTTGATAATATTTTTGAAATCTGAGAAACGTATGAAGGGTGTTTTGCGTTTCATAATACCATGTAGTCTAAGACTGAGTTGCATTAGGTACCTAACGTTGACCGTAACTTTGACGATAACTGATGTTTTTTGTATGGAGTTTGACAGATTTTTGACGTTTGTGAAAGTTAAAGTAAGATGGTGCAGCCCAGCCTTGAAGTACTAGTTGTAGTAGGATACGTAAAAACAGCAAAATAATAATTAGTTTATACAAACTGGTGCTAAGGTAAACTAAAGAACTACCTGTGTAAACAAGTTTGTGAGAATGTAAAGGGCAGCTGCTCGACAGATTTTGATGAAATTACACAATGGTAAAATGGTGTAAAGGCAAAAACTACTCATAGTATTTTATAAATCTAATTGTGGACTTTTTTCTGAGGTAACATGTAAGTAGTCGCTTGCACTTTTCAATTCAAACATTTCTATCGGCTCCCAATCATCTCTATTTCGTCCAGCTTACGATAGACGACAACCGCTATCTCTCATGTCTTGTCCCTAACCACATTTGGCTTAAATTCAGCTCTAATTAAAGTGTTGAGAAAATGTGGTTAATGCATACCCTTGCATATGCACCGGGGAACACGGGCGAACCCGCACGCCTCCACTAGTGTTTGAATAAGATAAAGTAATTGAAAGGGGACTTTTGCCCTTAATGGTTAGTCTTCTTCTTATTATTTGTTTCACTCTTGGCAGAGCGGTCGTGGTCACGTTGAGGCGTTGTTCACATCGGTTGTAGAGGCGAATACAACTCTCCATACAAGCTCCCTCCAGCTCTCTCTGTTGGTTGGTAATGGTTGAAAGCAGTTGAGAATATTCCGTGGCGAAACGGCCACGTCCGTAGCATATTTTGACTATAAGTTTAAAGTTTGTGAAGTTAGGGCTTGTAGAAAGGGTGTGTAAAGCTAGAAGCTTGACTCTACATGATCTGATAACCTTTTGATAGTTTGAGCCATAGTCTCGTCTTGGCAACATTTTTCATGTTTTTTTTTCGGTTGGATCACTTATATTACAATGAAATAAAATCCCACATTGTAGTCTCAATCGCCTTAAGAAAAATGTATAACACATATGACTAAACTCTAGTGTATAATAAACTCTAGTTTATTTTATTGGCATTTTACAGTTTTTAAAATTATAAGCTGACGGAATTCACAATACGGTACAGATATACACCGAATCACTGTCACGCTTAGCAACTATACACCACTCCCTCAGATCTACAAAGTTAAGGACATAATGAATTCTTCCAACTACCGATTTCTCGGCAGGCCAGACCGCAGGCTAGATTTAACCACAGCATTCCTAATCAATCGTGACCATACAAATGGCTGTGTATGAGGCCGGAGTGAAAGGACGCAATCGTCTGGAAGGGCCTCCCTCTGACCCTCCAATATACGAGGCGGGAGTAACAAAGATAGATATGCATAAACAATTAGAAGTGGGTATACACTTATAATTAGGATTTGGCATAAATACCTGTAAATATAATCTTAAACAACTTCTTATCTTATCATAGACTTCTTTTTCTCTCTCTGTGCTGTGTTAAAGATATTGATTCTTAAAGGAAAGACCTCTTGAAGTTGTGTCATCATCATCATCATCTCAGCCATAGGNGCCATAAGACGTCCACTGCTGAACATAGGCCTCCCCCAATGCTTTCCATGTTACCCGGTTGGAAGTTTTGTGTGGTGTTCAATAAATACATACTTACCTATCTATAATTATGTAATCTACTATGTTATCTATGTAGTAAGTAATGTAAACCAAACTATCAGCCATAAAAAAGTTTGTAGTCTGAGGGGACTCCTATAGGAACTTTTAATACTTATTTTGATTTAGGACAATATTATTGTATTGATGGAACAGGATACTTTCATGAATACAAGGTAATAATATTGCTGTAAAATATACTATTGCAAAACGATTCAAAATATTAAATTGTATGTAGTGATGAAACTATGACTTACTTGACTTATGGTCCTATGTCCCCTAGATGGGGCAGAGGGCGTCCACAACAGTCCTCCATCGCGTTCGGTCTTGAGTTTCGCGTTTGATCTCGCTCCAAGTCTTGCCGATCTTCTTCGTCTCGTCTGCCACAGAACGCCGCCAAGTTTGCTTGGGGCGACCACGTGTTGAAACTATCCTAGCTGTAAAAGTAGTTAATTGCACAGTTTTCAATGCACTCTACATTACATTAAATGCATGCACAGTCGCGGGCAAATCCCAGACTCCCCACAAAGCCGTCCGGAACGGAACCCTGTAAGTTAGTCCAAGCTATCAGCCGGCTGATTCAGGATGAATTTAATAGGTTAGGCACAAAGGCTTAGCCGCAGACCTAGGCAAAGATTACGTCTGCATGCATGCATTATGTATCGCACTGGTCTTGGTTGGACACACGGGCATTGCGGATGGCCAGCGGTTTTCACTTCACAGTTTTTAACTTCGAATACCTTTTTTTTCCACTAATGAAATATTTCAAGTGATGTGCTGTTGGCAGAATCTGAAGAATATGAAAAATATTTATAATGATGATTATCGACATCTACCTACAACTTTGAGTCAAAACGTTTTTTTTAACAACTTCTGTAACCTTTTTTATTTTGTTTCAGGTACGCATCACTGAAATCCAACTAACCTTATTTATGAATAAGTAAGTGTTTTAGAAAATACGGTTTAATTAATAAACAATTAAGGGCAATTTAAGTCATGTACAAGAAATCAAACCTTTACTATTTTTTAAACTCTACATTGGAACAATTCATTATTTAAAAGAATATTGCTGGTTTTTGCTGTCCGTGTGTCAAGTTCACGTATTACATCGACATATCGTTCTTTTGACGTTTAATATTAATCACCTGCCGTTTACATGACGATGTAAACATTTAACATGCCGGTAATGACTACAACCTGTCAGCACCTGTTTTTTAGCAAAACATAATATAAGATAGGTATGTTAGAAACCCAGTATCAAACGGCTATGTAATTAGTAAGATATAAGTACGAGTACATTTTGGTAGATATAATTATGAAGGGTAACTTCTAAGACTAAAAAAATCTGAAGTTAATAAGTTTTGATTCCGATTCGGATTCAATGTTTTGATTTCATAAGTTTAGAATAAGTAGCTTTTTCTACTTTGCTCAATAGCCTATAAGGCCGTGTGTTCCCATCAGTTGGCCGCGTTACTTCAACGAGTTATTATTATGTTCCGTTTACATTCAGCGACTTCTTCATATTATTATTTTTTATAATCTTTCAAAGCATTTAAGCAACAGAACATGCTAAAGAGACTGAAAGTTAAAAAGACAAAATTAATCTCCTACTAAAAATCGACAATGCTTGACAGTCTAGCCACCCGTGTGTCCCGCCAGTTGGCCGTGTCACGTCACCCAACTTATTGCGGGGCGTGTGCACTGTGCATCCAGCAATGCTGCGAACTGTCGTGACTTCAGTTATGGCGTTCCGATGTCGGTGTTCAGAGTTTGTCTTGACATGTTTGCTAGGCTAATATACATAGCTTGGTGGTTTATTGTTAACGGATGCGGATTCGAGGTACGATGAGGGTAGATTTTTGTTTATTACATATATTTAACCATTGATTAAATAGTGTCTTATATCCTCTTGAGGTGTGTTCAGATACTGTTGTTTTCTATACAAATAAAATAAACGTTTGAGTATAAGCATCCACAACTTAATCTAAACCATGCACAATAAGAAATATACGTGATACGTAATTACGTGATGGTGTGATGAGTTCAAGCACTACAAAGAATCTTGGATTTTTTTGTTTGTATCATTCATTATTTCAATATTAACTTTCATGATAATTAATAAACCTTAGTACCCCAATTTTTGTCTTAGAGCTTTGTAGTCAATCAGCAAGGATAAAATTATACTAGGATGAGTTGATAAAGGATAGACCATATTATGAGAAGGATTATCGACACGCCTACCTACAATGCGTTACTCACTAAGAAATGATTTATACGAGTATTATGCAGCTTTATAATGCATGTGAGAATCAAAGTCATTCTGTTCACCAAATAAATCATTGATCTCCTAAACAATAATTCCATCTCAAAGCAGAATCCAGCCTCGCCATTACTCACCATCCCCTTTGTCTGTGTGTCACGTGCCGTTAACGCGGCCATAGTTTTGCACATCTGACTTATTACGCACCATGCAAACGCATATTCGACTTTAGTACTTCATTATTTAGGTTTAAAGTTCAACGCCTCCATTTGCGGCCCACTAAATGCACTGACATATTGAACTGAATTTGGTGTTGCTGGCTGTTTGTCTAACACTATGAGGAATGGCGCTAAAAGCTTCAGATGAATCTGGTATTCGGGCTTATTAAGTATTCATAAGGGAAAGTGAAACTTACAGTTTGCGAGTTTATTTATTTATCTCTGAAACTGCATTATTTTAGACCTTCACCAGATCGTCGGTCCACTAAATGGGGGCCTGCCCACACTACGTCTTTCGGCTCGTCCACTCGAGAACTTTTCTGCCCCAGCGGCCATCAGCTCTGCGAGCTATGTGCCCCGCCCACTGCCACTTTAGTTCTCCTGCGGATCTCCTCATTTTTGATTCAATCACGCAGGGAAACTCCGAGCATACGAGTAGCACACAATAAATAATAAATTAATGTCTGTTATTCTGTATGTACCTTTTCATGATTGAATCACTTAATCGATTCGGATGAAATTTACTTTATGTTTTAAACATAGGATCGTTTATAATCTGGTGCTTATAAAAGGGATATCGGAAGGGATTCTGTGATAGATTAAAATTAGCTTGGACGAAGCCATGGCAAAAACATATATTTGCCCACCTATTTGCTCTCAATTCTCGTCGCCCGTGTGTCACTTCTGTCGGCGCGTCGAGCCACACACCTGACTTATTGCCAATGTACACTCAGCAACAATAACGTGTGTACACCTGTTAGAACACAACTGTGTATCAAACGGATGGTATAGTCATACATGAAGGGACCTGCATAGCTTATTCTGGGTACTGAACACGAGTTTAGTGATGCATGATTTACCGGTTATCTATGTTCAGTCAATTGTTAACTGTTATGTTCTTAATCTTGTAATGTACAGTGTTTTATATAGGTTCGTTAGAAATTTTGAAACTTAATCAAAATTACTTATAATTCAAATACAACTTTTCAAAATATGTTTTGAATAACGGTTTTTGTAACGAAAAGTTATGTTTACAAATTCCTTCAATCAATGTCCAGTTTAACATAACTTTGTAGTCTACTGAAAATTGCAACTTTTATTCGAAACTATACAGATAAAAAGTTAATCTACCTACATAAAAATATTTATCACCAACAAAACAAAACCAACAAAAACATCTGAAATAATCTACAAAAACTATTATCTTATAACGCTAGCCTATACGCCTGAAACATGTCATGACCAGAAGAATAAAAATAGTCTTCAGTTAGTACATTCGAGAAAATCGCTCGTGTTAGAAAATGGATTATTTTATTCCATTGAACTGTATACTGCGGAAGGCAGTTGACATATTGAATTCAACGGAACATATTATCGCGTTCCCTCGTCACAATGGAACATAATTTTCTTTAAAATCAGCATGAACTATAATGGATTTTCTAGCGTGTACAGGTTTTAGCTCGCGCTGATAGAATTTTGTACATACGGTTTGATAAAAATGTACTGCAATAGTCACAGTGGATTCAATTATTATATTTTGAAGTCGTACTCAAAATAATAGAGCTATTCATAGTTCTGTGTCAGAGTAAGTCGGTCTTATGGTATAGATTAGTAAGTTAATATAAGTAGGTGCTAATTTTACAATCGCGAAACTGTGTAAAGATGTGTGTCACAACGATACGCTACGAGGATAGCGCAGAAACTACATGTACCAGTGTAGCGTTGCAATTTNCCCAGACTTCCCACAAAGCCGTCCGGGACGGGACCCCGTAAGTTGGTCCAAGCTATCAGCCGGCTGATTCAGGATGAATTTAATATACATAGGTTAGGCACAAAGGCTTAGCCGCAGAGCTAGGCAAAGATTACGTCTGCATGCATGCATTATGTATCGCACTGGTCTTGGTTGGACACACGGGCATTGCGGATGGCCAGCGGTTTTCACTTCATTAACTACGAATACCTTTATTTAATCCTACTAATGAAATATTTCAAGTGATGTGCTGTTGGCAGAATCTGAAGAACCTGAAAAAGATTTATAATGATGATTATTGACATCTACGTCGAGTCAAAACGTTTTTTGAACAACTTCTGTAACCTTTTTTATTTTGTTTCAGGTATGCAACACTGAAATCCTACTAACCTCATATATTATGAGTAAGTACGTGCTTTAGAAATTACGGTTTAATTAATAGGCAATTAAGGGCAATTTAAGTCATATACCATAAATCAAACCTCCACTATTTTCTAAACTCTCCGCATTTGAGCAGTCTTTTGTTTGGAAAAATATTGCTGGTTTGTGCTGTCTGTGTGTCAAATCCACGTATTACATCGATTTATCATTCTTTTGACGTTTAATATTAATCACCTGCCGTTTACATGACGATGTAAACATTTAACATGCCGATATGGACTACAGCATGACGTCAGCACCTGTTTTTTGTCAAAACATGATATTTAAGATAATTATGTATGTTAGAAACTCAGTATCAAACGGCTATGTAATTATTGAGATATGATGCTCATACACTTGGTTGCTATACCATTCTATTCATCAATTTTATTGTAAGTTAAAATACTTTGACCAAATGAAACGCTGAACTGAAAGGTAACTAATACGATTTTTTTTTCAAAGAAATGGGTTTAAAACCAATGTTTTGAATAAGATAACAATAAGTCTCTTTTTCTAATTTTGCTCGATAGCCTACAAGGCCGTGTGTCCCGCCAGTTGGCCGTGTCACGTCACCCAACTTATTGTGTGCATCCAGCAGCAATAGTTGGCGACTGTCGTGAGTGTAAGCTATATTGGCGCATTCTGATGTCTGTCTTGAAACGTTTGTTAGGCATAGCTCACTATAAGTTGCTGGTTCTAATTCCGGTGGGCGTATTATTTTTTTTAAGGATGTTGCATTAAATATTGTTATTTCTTACTATTTATAAAAGAATTTAAGCAACAAAACATGTCACGAAATTAAAAACACTAAAAATTAAATATCTCCTACGTAGTGGGATAGTCTAGCCAACCGTGTGTCCCGCCAGTTGGCCGTGTCACGTCACCCAACTTATTGCGGGGCGTGTGCATCCAGCAGCAATGCAGCGAACTGTCGTGACTTCAGTTATGGCGTTCCGATGTCGGTGTTCAGAGTTTGTCTTGACATGTTTGCTAGGCTAATATACATAGCTTGGTGGTTTATTGTTAACGGATGCGGATTCGAGGTCCGATGAGGGTAGATTTTTATTTATTACATATATTTAACCATTGATTAAATAGTGTCTTATATCCTCTTGAGGTGTGTTCAGACACTGTTGTTTTCTATACAAATAAAATAAACGTTTGAGTAGAAGCATCCACAACTTAATATAAACCATGCACAATAAGAAATATACGTGATACGTAAGATACGTGATGGTGTGATGAGTTCAAGCACTACAAGGAATCTTGGATTTTTTTGTTTGTATCATTCATTCATTATTTCAATATTAACTTTCATGATAATTAATAAACCTTAGTACCCCAAT